CCAAACGGGATTCCTTTTGCCAATGGTGACCGATCAGTTCGTTCCACTCAATCACAGAGACTTAAAAGCTATAACATCTAGAAAATTAATTCTAACTAATTTTTCTAACTTTTTATTCAGTCGACTATTCTGTTAGACATAGACTGACTTGATGTCCTAAAAGTCAATGGAATCCACAGATCATTCGTTGACTCTTAAATTCTAATTTGGTACCTTCAACATCGTAAATCATCGAACATATACAAGAAAAACTAAATTTCAAATTCATTGACTATTGAATCAGAATTCGGTGACCGGGATATTACATTAACACTCAATCTGTCTGTCATATGAATACCTATATAATTTCTTGTCAATGTTATTTAAACCGTGATTTTAGATCAAATTGGATGATACAGAATGAACTTGGATAGCTAATAGAACTATATAGAGTTCAATCGATCTGTGGAACATTAACAATCAGTGACTTTCTAGATTTCATCTCAACGGTTTTCCATGGATCAGAAATTACTCGTAGGCATCTGCGTCTTTGTAATGGTAGCATGATCATCCAATCTAATAAGGAAAGGTGGATGACTAATAGCAACGTAATAAGATAACAAACCTTAATTGGCGAAACGCAATCGGAACGAACCCTTGGTTGACCTATGTTTCGAGGTTGTTGGCTCTCTTCAGCAAGGTGTATCTGCAATCTGGGGGGAACTGATGTCTAACACGCGTCAACAAGTGTTGTAGTCAATGATGGTACCGCTGAGATATTTGGGCCTCTATTGCCCTCCTTCAAAACTGGAAGGCAACCAGTTTCATGTTATCTAGTTCTCTTGAGTGCTGACCACCAAACTAGGGAGGGAGCTCTGCATCGTGGTGTACCTGGGATATGGATAGGTGTTAATTGGTTGGAAGCAATCGACAGGAAGCCCTAGACTTACGTTTTGTGCTTGTTGGTGTGTTCTTACTAAGCAATCTTGATAAATTTGTGTGTTTAATTTGTTTACAATTTTCTTTAGGGAATTTAAGATATACTAATTGAACATTTTAACCAGGTTACTATCTGGTAAGAGATCAACAGAGGTGAAAACAGTGAAAGATAGTGAAGGAAACTTAGTTACCAAAGACGAGGAAACGATGGGCTGACCACTTCCAAAAATTTTCGAATCAGCCACCACCGCAACTCGTGCAGAAATATCAGTGAACACAAACCCTCCGACAAAGGCAGAAGTCATGAAGGCCATAAAGTTGCTGATGGCCCAGAAAGCAGCAGAACCAGATGGATTTCTTCCAAGAGCACTGAAAACAGATGCAGAGATATGACCGGACATGTTCACATCACTATCGCGAAAGGTTGCGAAGGAAGGAAAAGTACCTACCAACTGGAAGAAGGGCACCTTGTCAAACTGCCAGAGAAGGACGACCTCAATCTTTGCAAGAACTCGACCGGAATCATGCTCCTATCCACACCAAGCCAAATATTAAGCCACATCATCCTAGAGAGACTAGAAATACTCTCCATTCAAAATTATCACCCGAACATGCTGGCTGGCTGGCTGGCTGGCTTCAGGAAAAACAAATCGAGTGTGGATTAAATTGCAACACTATGCTAGGCATCATCATAGAATAGAGCAAGGAATGAGAGTTCACTTTACCTGTACCTCAACTTCATCGATTTGATAAGGCCTTGGATAGCGTCGACAGAGAAGTAGATTGTCGGCAGCTGCTTCAACACTAAGGTTTAAGTGAGACAAACCTTCATCAACCTCATTCAACAGCTATATGATATATGATGATGATGATGATGATGATGATGATGATGATGATGAGGCATGTGGAGTGATTGACAGTGGAAAGCTCATAGATGCTTTTGAAGTGAAGTGAAGACAGGAGTGAGAGGAGGTTGCCTACTATTACTGATGGTCTTCCTGACTGTGGTCGACTGGAGACGAAGCAAGCAAGCAAGCAAGCGAGAAAGCCATTGGCCAACAGATATGCAGAAGGGGAAAGTGGAGGTGTATTGGATTGGATATACACTGAGAAGATGTTTTGGGGACATCATAGGCCAGGCCGAGCCAGTGTTTCGAGAGGAGCCCAATTGGGAAACGACGAATTGAGTGTCCGAGAGTGACATGGAGGAGGAGATGGTGTGAGGAAGAAATGAAATTTCATGTGCTGTGGTGGAGCCAGGTTAAGGTGACTGCAGGGAAGAGAAGAGAATTTTTATGTTCCACTAGGAACCCAAGGGAAAAATAATAGAAAATAAATAATAATAATCGAACACTTTCGTAGAAATCAGTTTGCATAATCGTAGTTCCTCATTCATGTACATTAACCTTTTCAAGTTATCCATACCCTTTTGCTACCGTTTTTATAAGCTTATGTTCCGTTTGAAGGCATCCATTTCTTTGTTGGCTTTGACCCTCTGTTGTTTAAGGTTCATCATTGCCTCAAAAATAGGAAGTTAAATACCTAGTTATTTAGAGGTATATTTTGATTGATTACTACTACTCATTTTCAACACTCAATATCTTTATTGAATACGGCAGGTTTCTTTGTCGTCTAAAACAACAACCCCAACAGAAATGAACTCGGCAAGCGGGTAGAAGTTTGTGTAGTACACGATGAGCTATATCTATTGTGTTTTGTCTAGTGATACTATCTAGTTGCTAAAACCTTGATAAGTAGAGCAGATTTTGAAGACATGATTCACCATTTGGAAGTCCAGTGATTAAACCAATAAGTCATAGCTTCATATGTTTAGACGAATGATCTGTAAATGATTAGATATGTGATAACACGTTTAGTTACATTCATTTATTCAATTCAATATCTAGGTAATAGGTGTGGGACTTGAAAGAAGTACACAGTAGATTTACATTCGATGTATTTATCTCATCATATCATGCAACTTTGTAGCAAGTTAGTCTTTTTGTTTATTTTACAATCTATCTACCACATGATAAGTGGAAAAAAAATGATTTTCAATCGGTAAAATACGTTGAAATCGATGACGTAGATGGTAAAATAAGCTTTTCAAAGTGTTATATATACACACACACACACAACTTTTGTCTAAGATATTTGAAGAAGAGTGAGTGTTTATAATACATAATAAGTCATGTAAACTAATCCGTGATTACGTTATCAACCGCTGAAATCTTTTCTGCAATAATGGTATGAGCATATCCGGTGATATCTCTCGATCTGTTTTCAGTACTCTTGGAAGAATTCCATCTGATCCTGGCAATGTTTTCTTGTACAACATATATTTTATTTTAAAATTTGTTTACTCTCTTCAAATTGACAGTTAATTTGTACCTTCAAAAGCATTGAATATAAATGTTCCTGTTAAGTTGGGATACACTTTTGGTACTTTATAGTCTACATGTATGATTCTACTGGTCTAATATGCTGTAATTCAATCTTCAGAATTCCTCTTCTCAGGTAATCTGATGGTTGTAAGAGAATATCATCTATCTGTATTAATCACTACTTCTAATTCGTTCAATCATCACAAGTTATAATTCCCTATGAGAAGCTTGAAACATTCCGCTATAGATAAATAACTAAACTGTTAAAACACCATTTATTGTTGTTGATTGGAACGAAATTGATAAATCTCTGTTGGCATATGGGCTCCTGTATGGATGCCTCTATATTGCCTGTCTTTTAACTATGTGTAGTAATGATGGGCAGTGGGTAGCAGTGGAATCCAGGATGCGCATTTCGTCCTATTTGGGACTTGCCAGCTGGATGTACCTGCCTTCCAGTGAGTGATGTTGTTCCCACCGGGACTCGGAAGCGATCACTTCAAACATGAGAGCGTTTTCCACTACACCACTGAGCCATGATAGCCACTTCTTGTGCGACGGGTATAGGTTTAGTAGTGTTATTACTTGTATTACACCGTTGTTGATTGGACCGAAATTGATCAGTCTCTGTTGGTATATGGGATCCTGTGCGGATGCCTCACTCCTGAGTCCGAGTCCCGGTGGGAACAACACCACTCACTGGGATGCAGGTACATCCAGCTGACGAGTCCCAAACAGGATGATTTGCGTATCCTGAATTCCACTGCCCATCATTACTACAAATACGACATCAGATTATTATCCAAAGAAATCAGTGACGATAACAATAACGCATATTATGTAAGAAATATCTTTGTAGAGCGCATCATAAATAAGTAAGTAAATGTGTATAATACAAGTATGATATGTTAATACAACATCTTGTTGTAAATCATAAGAGATTTTGAAGTAATCACAATCGAAATAAATAATTATAACTGTAGTCTACTGAAAAATGATCAAATGATGGAGGGATAGACAGACTGACGTAGGGAGACAGATAGCCACAAAGACATAAAAACAAGTAGATAGAGAGACATACTAAGGTAGGTAGATAGAGAGACAGACAGGCATAAAGAAAGACAGACAGACAGAGAGAGAAAGAGAGAGCAGCTAACGACTTTTCTTCTGTAAGGTACAATAGGAGAAATATGGAGATCTATAGAGTACAAAATTATTTTCGAAGATATATAAAAGGCAGAAGTATCCACATGTGTTCATATATATATATGACCATTATTATTGTTATTGTATACGTTGAACAGAAGGGAAAAGATAATGGTAGTATAGAATAATGAAAGAATAACATGAATATGCCAAACCAATGATTTCAAAATACCCAAAAACCTGTATGAAGATGAAATAACACTGGTATAGAATATACTTGTTTACAGTATACAGATATATGTATACTTGTTCGATTAATTTTAAATGTTTATTTATTACAGAAAAATAATCTGTTAGTTAGTTACATGATGATTATGTAATTGTCATAGGAATGACTGAAGAGGTATCCATAAACTGGATTTTTATGAGATATTTCTTTAACTATCCCTTTTTCTTATGTTAAATCTTCAATGAATAAGTGCTGTGATATGATTGGCATAAATTTTATACGACAATATTGTATATATATACTCATAGTTTAGTTTTCAAATTCTATTTGGAAGCATACTGTTCGTCAAATGGAGTATCTGTATAAATTCAAAAAGATTAATGTATAAGTAGATAATTCCACGAAGTACAAATCATGTGTGGACCAAATTGTAACGCTTCGCATCATCATGGAACAGAGTAGAGAATGGCGGTAAACTCTCTACCTCAACTTCATCCACTTTGAGAAGGTCTTTGACAGCGTCGACCGACAAATAATTTGACAAGCAGTTGTTTCACACTATGGAATACCACAAACCTTTATCAATCTCATTCAACAGCAACTATATGAAGTCGCTACGTGCCAAGTAATTCACAATGGGAAGCTCAATAATTCCTTTGAAGTGAAGACAGGAGTAAGACAAGACTGTCTACTATCACCCATGATATTCCTGATTGTGGTGGATTGGATCATGCAACAAAGAGTGGGGAGCGAGAAGAGAAGGATTCGCTGGCTGGACCGCGTAAAAGAACCTGGAAGATTTCGATTTCACCGATGACTTGTTTGTAATGTCGCACAAACTCGAAGATTTACAGGCGAAAACCAATAAGTTAACAGAAGAGGTAGGGCAGAGAAGACGGGACTTCAAGTGAATGTAGAGAAGACAGAGGTGATGAAGATACCCAACCAACACCACCACCACCACCACCACCACCACCAACAACAACAACAACAAGCTCCAATCACCATCAATGGGAAAAACTTAAAGGAAGTAGTCTGTTTCACCTATCTAGGCAGCACTGTCTCAACTACAGGCGACACAGGGACAGACGGGGATGTCGAAGCACCCAGGATCGGAAAGACAGCAGGACAGGTGTTCATTAGCCTGAAACTAGTGTGGAGATCTTCTCCACTCAGCACAAAGTGTGAACAACATCCGGATTTGCAAAACCAATTCAGTCAAGTCAGTGCTTCTATGTGATGGTTGAGAGAGTTGGCGCATTACGAAAAGTATTTCCAACAAACTGCAGATATTCATCAACAATTGCCTACTCTGGCTCGTTACCGAAGATCAGATGTCCGAAAAGAATAAGCAAGAAGGAACTGTGGAAAGGAACCAACGAAGCAAGAAGCTATCGCTGAAGAGATATGCAGAAGGAAGTGGAGATGGATTGGGTGTGCACTGAGAAGACCGACTTGGGACATGACGTCTCAGGCCAGGCCTTCGAGTGGAACGGAGATGGGAAGCGATGAGTTAGGCGTCCGAGGTGAGGGTGGCCTGGAGGAGATGGTGCGAGGAAGAAATGAGAGCTTGTGGGCTTTTGTGGAGCCAGGTTCAAAAGATTTCAGAGAACACAGTGCATTGGAGACGTGCTACTGAAGCCCTATGTTTCATCAGGAACCCAAGGGACAAATAATAATAGTAATAGCTAATACCTCAGCTATACATGATTCATGGAAGTGTCCGCCTTTGGAATAATTTTGTAAATTACCTTATAGGATGAAAATCTCAAGGTGCTGAATAACCTACATGTGGATGAAATTGTTTTTCTCCGCTCAGCTTTGGTAAGCTAAGCTAGGTAATTTTCAACAACATGTTTTTTCGAAGAAGTCACTTATAACATCCAATGTAGTCAGCTTCACAGGAGCATATGAATTTGTAGATACACACAGATTTGGACATAAGTAATAGCCTGTCTTTCACCAACGTTTTACGTCAATCTTCTACAATTCTTTGACAATATGTGTCTCTTATCTCACTACTTGTTATCAATTCGTTCCATATTCAATGTCTGATTTTCTATTTCTTCCACTTGAACAAATCTCACCATCAACACCAGTTGTATATTTCGTTTATTGATTGGCAACTCTTTTTAGTACCGATTATAAATACGACTGTGTACAGTCTGATAATGAAATCTTAATAATGATGAGAATATATCCTGTTGGTAGATTAGTCATTGTTCTTTGATGCGATAGTAAATATGCATCAGGAGAACAAAAAGAAGAGCATATTTCAGACTTTAAAAAAATATTTCAAAGAATTTCAGTACTACACAATCATTAAACATAGAATAGACACAAGATGTAAAGAGATATTCTGAAAAATCTTAAAAATCCTCACGAAAACAGTCTAATCTAAAGTTTTTCCCTTTTTATATAGGCTATCGTCATCAAAAAACTTAAAATAAAACCAGACTTAAAATTTTAAGATTCTTATAGCACTAATCAAAAGAAAAGCTAATCTGAACGAAGAATATTCCTCTCAGTAGATTTCAACACATTCTACAATGCCAATTTATAACTGTAGAACCTAATAAGTGTTTATTGAAAAGGATATTATTCGTCCAGTCTGTTTTTTTTTGTTGGGAAAAAGCTAAACTAAATTTATATTTTATTGATCTTGATAGCTAGCAGAGGAATCCAGGACGCACATTTAGTCCTATTTATGACTCGTCAGGTAGATGTACCTGCACCCCAGTACCCATTGCTTTAACCACCAAAAGCGTTATCCACCTAAGCCAACAGAGGCTGAGAGATTTGGCCGTGTATAACAACCGGAAATTACAAGTTTCATTACAACAACTCATGCCTGTTACACAAGGGATGGATATTGTGCCCCAGTAGCTTAGTGGATAACGTTTTGGGTACTGCTTTCAAGCCTCAGTGGGGGTTCAGGTATACCTACCTGATAAGTCCAAAATAGGACGAAACATGCATCCTGGATTCATCTACTAGTCACAGAGATCAACATAACATCATGAATATCCATCCAGAAAGCAGCCCATCTGCAAGCAGAGGTCGAGCAGTTCAACCCTGTATAGCAACGAGAAATTTCATTTGTCATTACAATAAATCTAAGTTTATTTTAAAGAGAAGCAGTAGTTGACGTTTCATTACTATGACAGCTGAGAAAGTTTCTCCTTATTATAAATTCATAACTGTTGGATATTATGAAACTTTACGGTATACAGTAAAGTTCGATTTCAGTCAGCTGGTCTAAATTCATCGTATCTCAGAGTTGTGAAGTTATGATTCTGGAGAATACAGTGTCCGAAATAAAATTCAGTAAATAATACTGCTCCACTGTGTGTGATACATTTAGTAGAATCAGCTAAAAATAGAATTGCTGTAGGTTTGGAAGGAAGGAAAGGTACCTACGGACTAGAAAAAGGGCCACCTTGTCAAACTGCCAGAGAAGGACGACCTCAATCTTTGCAAGAACTCGACCGGAATCATGCTCCTATCCACACCAAGCCAAATATTAAGCCACATCATCCTAGAGAGACTAGAAATACTCTCCATTCAAAATTGTCACCGACACATGCTGGCTGGCTGGCGGCTGGCTTGCTGGCTGGCTTCAGGAAAAACAAATCGAGTGTGGATCGAATTGCAATGCTATGCTAGGCATCATCATAGAATAGAGCAGAGAATGACAGTTCACTGTACCTGTACCTCAACTTCATCGATTTTGGTAAGGCCTTGGATAGCGTCGACTGAGAAGTAGATTGTCAGGCAGCTGCTTCAACATCAAGGTTTAAGTGAGACAAACCTTCATCAACCTCATTCAACAGCTATATGATAATGATGGTGATGATGATGATGATGAGACATGTGGAGTGATTGACAGTGGAAAGCTCATAGATGCGTTTGAAGTGAAGTGAAGACAGGAATGAGAGGGGTTGCCTACTATTACTGATGATCTTCCTGACTGTGGTCGACTGGAGACGAAGCAAGCAAGCAAGCAAGCGAGAAAGCCATTGGCCAACAGATATGCAGAAGGGGAAAGTGGAGGTGTATTGGATTGGATATACACTGAGAAGACGTTTTGGGAAACGACGAATTGGGTGTCGAGAGTGACATGGAGGAGGAGATGGTGTGAGGAAGAAATGAAATTTCATGTGATGTGGTGGAGCCAGGTTAAGGCGACTTCAGCGAAGAGAAGAGAGTGAAATGGTGATGTGCTACTGAAGCCTTATGTTCCACTAGGAACCCGAAGGACAAATAATTATGTCTCTAATCATTGTTCTACATTATACTTCTCGTTTTTAACAAAAATGCTTCACTGAATGAAGTATCTATATATGTAGATCCCAACATTGCCTGACTAATATCCTTGCGGGTAAACTTTTGATTTAGAGGGTAGCAGCTGACTACAGAATATGATGTCATCTTATTCGAACTCTTCAGCCAAATTTACCTACATCTTAGTGATTATTGATTTTTTCATCAAGATTAGCCTTTTTCTAAATAAAAAGATGAAGAGGATGATTATTTTAAGACTATAGGAAAATATATCTTCATAAGACACATTTTGTATAACTGACATTATTCTTAGTTATGTTAATGATGGATCGTGGCTAGCAGTGGAATCTAGGATACGCATTTCTTCCTTTTTGTGACTCGTCAGCTAGATGTACCTGCATCCCAGTGATGTCCCCAAGTCCAAATCCCGGTGGGAACAACGTCACTTACTGGGAGGTAGGTACATCCAGCTAACGAGTCTTAAATAAGACGAAATGCGCATCCAGGATTCCACTGCTAGCCACTATCCATCATTAACATAATTAGAACATTGGCATCCACACAGGAGCCCATATGCTAATAGAGACCCGATCAATTCGGTCCAATCAACGACAGTATCTTATATATATACATTAAAATTTTTTATAACTTACTTAAATTCGATGAACCAGAACTATTCCAACTTTTACAGGAAATATTTGATTGATGTACTACACCCTTACAAGTTAAATCATTCATTGGAATTTGTTTAATTAACTCTGAGGGTTGATTGTTTATTTGAAGTAAATTACATTGACTTCTAAAATTGGTTCCAGAATGTATATACTCTGAATTAATTTTATCATATTGTTTACATACTGATCTATAGATTATATGAAAGGGTTTTGATGGATTCACAATAGTTTGATTAATATGTGTTGAATTGATCAAATCTTTCAATGGAGTTTTATTCTGTTTTCCAGATAAACATTCACTTGATAAACATTTCTGTAAGTGTTCAAATAATAATAATAGTATCATAATTATGTAAACATGATAATTGAATAAGGGAAAGATATTTTACAAGAGATGGATGAGTATAAAGTTGTCTTATGAATAAAATAAATTAACAAGAATTGTATCATTTACTAGATAAGGTTTCGATAACTCCACAACTTTAAGACAGTCCTTATTTTCTCTCCATGTTTATGATGAGAAGGATAGTATAATTTCTCATACGTTAAGACAGGTGTAGAATCATTTCTATCACACGTATTTTGTGTTGATTCAGTAAAGAAAGACTCGTTTATCAATCCCTCCATCTACCCAACTTAGTGTTGGATACTGTCGTTCTATCCTACCCTATTGTGTGATTGTGTCCAGCTGCTCTGCACGCTACACAATTATACAATAGGATGGGATAGATAGATAGTATTAAACTTAATTCAAGGGAGAGATCGATAACTGAAATTTGTTTCTCGAATCAGCACCAAAATATATCCAATAGGGTGATTCTACTCATGTTCCAGATATATGGAAAATTCTACTACCCTTCTCATCACAAAGTAGGAAGAATATTAAATATTACATAAAGTCTGTCTCAAAGCTGTGGAGTTATAGAATATTATCCAGTAAATGATACAGTTCCTTCAGTGTCCGAAATGTAATTCAGTAAATAATATGCTCCACTGTGTGTGATACATTTAGTAGAATCAGTTAAAAATAGAATTGCTGTAGGTTTGGAAGGAAGGAAAGGTACCTACCAACTGGAAGAAGGGCCACCTTGTCAAACTGCCAGAGAAGGACACCTCAATCTTTGCAAGAACACGACCGGAATCATGCTCATATCCACACCAAGCCAAATATTAAGCCACATCATCCTAGAGAGACTAGAAATACTCTCCATTCAAAATTGTCACCGACACATGCTGGCTGGCTGGCTGGCTTCAGGAAAAACAAATCGAGTGTGGATCGAATTGCAATGCTATGTTAGGCATCATCATAGAATAGAGCAAGGAATGAGAGTTCACTGTACCTGTACCTCAACTTCATCGATTTTGGTAAGGCCTTGGATAGCGTCGACTGAGAAGTAGATTGTCAGGCAGCTGCTTCAACATTACGGTTTAAGTGAGAGGAACCTTCATCAACCTCATTCAACAGCTATATGATGGTGATGATAATGATGATGATGATGAGACATGAGGAGTGATTGACAGTGAAAAGCTCATAGATGCGTTTGAAGTGAAGTGAAGACGGGAGTGAGAGGAGGTTGCCTACTATCACTTATGGTCTTCCTGATTGTGGTCAACTGGACTGGACTGGACTGGATCATGCAACAAAACATGAGGAGGTGTGAGAAGATGGGTATGCGCTTTTGACCGATGAAAAATACCGTAGGATATTTGGATTTTGCCGATCATGATTTATATCGAGTGTCTTATGCCGTACAACCTCGAAGATCTACAAGCTAGAACCAACAAGTTGACAGAAGAGGCAACGAACATGGCACTTCCTTCAGGTGAACATAGAGAAGACAGAGCTGATGAAGATATCCAAGTAACAACAATAACAACAACAAGCACCAGTCACTATCAAGGGGAGAAGTGTGATTAAAGTTGTCCCTTTCACCTACCTAGGCAGCATCGTCTCAAATACAGGCGACACGGACACAGAGGAGGATATCAAAGCAGACAGGATCGGAACGACACCAAGACAGGCCCTCCTTCACTAACCTGAAATAATCAGAGTGGAGGTCTACTCAACTGCACAGCACAGTACAGCACAGCACTCACCATAAAGCATGAACAAGATTCGAGTTTTCAACACTAATGTTAGTCAAGTAAGTCAGTGCTTGTATGTGATGGATGAGAGACTTGGAGAGTTGCAATAAGCATTTTCAACAAACTACAGATATACATGATATGAACAGCTGCCATCCACGCTCACTCGATACTGAAGATCAGATGAGATGATGTGAAATAGTGGGCAAGGGTGAACTTTAGCCTGGCAGCAAACCAACCAACCAAGAGGCTATCGCCGGAGAGACATGAAGAAGAAGAAAGTATAGATGGATTGAGCTGGACTGGACTGTACATGCGCTGAGAGGACGGTTTTGGGACATCACGCGTCAGGCTAGGCTGTCAAATGGGATCCGAATGGGAAACGACGAGTTGGGTGTTGGAGGGAAGGGTGAGATGGAGGAGATGGTGTGAAGAAGAAATGGGAGTTGTTGAGAGTGGTGCAACCATGTTAAGGAGACTGCGTAGAACAGAGTGAAATGGAGACGTGTTGCTGAATCTCTATGTTCCACTAGGAACCCAACGGACAAATAAAGCTAGTATAATAAATACGCGACAGTACTGGTGTCCAATGGACTGATACTCATTTCATTTAGTACTTAACACAGAGCTTGTCGATAGCTTGAGGTATGCTGATGGCTTATGAATGATGTCTGTGACTATAAGGATGGCTAAGGCAAGTTTAAATTTCATAAAAGGTATAATTTATACAAAAGATCTCGTTACATTTTATTAGAAGATAGCAGTATTGTAATGAAGGCTGAAGTTCTTCTCCTGATATATTTATAATTCAGGAAAGAGATCAGTCGATTTCACTGAAGAATGAGTAGGCGCTAGTCATGTTGATTATCTACTCGGTTAAGCGCTCAAATGATTCAAAAGGAATAAGATTATCGATAGGTGTATAAGAAATCGAATAATTATGTGTATTATAAATGTTTGACTAGGTGGCTCATTGAAAAAAATCAGGCATAGAATCTCGTACACAGATATATCAATTCAACTTGAAACACTTCACAGTTGTATACAAAGAACAGGTGGATAGGAAAAAAGTTAGACAATAAAAAAATATGAAGATAACGGTTAGTGCGAATATTTAAGCTTTAGAAGACGTCAAGGAGTGAATACAAATTTGCCATTATGAATGATTTTCAGTTATGTCACCAAGAATTCTTGGCCATTGATTCATGTTACCTCAGAGACTCCAACAAGGCAGTCTACATCTCTCCTACACGGCCAAGTCCAACAGTAACAAACTCATTAACCGGTGCCGTATCTTGTCCTATTATTATTACTAATATTATTATTTTTCCCTTAGGTTCCTAGTGGAACATAGAGCTTCAGTAGCACGCCTTCACCTCACTGTTTTCTGCAGTGTTTCGAACTTGGCTCCACCACTGCCTAGAAACTCTCATTTTTCCTCACATGGTCTACTACATGTCATCTTCGCCTCAGATGCCCAACTCGTCATTTCCCCTTTGGGTTCCTGGTGCGTGATGTCTGCAGTTGGCTCTCTCAGTGTATGCCCAATCCATCTCCATTTTTTACTTCTGCAGATTTGTTGGGCAATAGGTTCTTGGTTGGTTCGTTGCCAGGCCAGAATTCCTTGTTGCTTATTCTTTCTGACCATCTGATCTTCAGTTTCAAGTGAGCGTAGGCACTTGTTGATGAATATCTGCAGTTTATTGAAAGTGCTTTGCATGACGCGCCAAGTTTCTGAACCATATAGCAACACTGGCTTGACTTTGGTGTTGAAAATCCGGATGTTGTTCACATTTTATGCTGAGTAAAGTAGATCTCCACAGTGATTTCAGATTAATGAAAGCCTGTCTTGTATTCCGATCCTGGCTTTGACATCATCGTCTGTACCGCCTTTAGTTGAAACAATGTTGCCCAGCCAGGTGGGTAAAAGAGACAACTTCCTTTAGGTTCATCGCGTTGATGGTGATTGGTGCTTGTTATTGATGCTGTTGTTAATTGGGTATCTTCATCACCTCTGTCTTCTATACATTCACTTGAAGTTCCGTCTTCGCTGCCTCTTCTTTCAACTTGTTGGTTTTTGGCTGTAGATATTCGAGTTACGTCTTGTTCTGGTGACTTTGAACTCTCTTCCAAAGTAATCCAACTTCCCCCAGCACGGTACATTGAAGTAGACACAGTACATGTTGAAGCCATCTCACTTAATTGACTAAATTTCACAACCTCATCAATCGACTTGTCTGTTTTGCCTAGTATTCTTCGCCTGATCTCAACATTGCTCACATGGTGATTACACCAAACGTCAGCAATGCTACGAAGACAATGCTATGATCACAACCCTGTAACTGCTTCATATCTTCTACTTTCAATGGTCATATTCAGCCGTATAACACGACAGAACGGAGTGCTATGCAGTATAAACGTCTTTTGATAGATAATCGGATACCTCGTCAGTCAGCGCTAAAGTTGACACAAATTGGCAAATGTCAAACATGCCTTCAGTATCCGAACTGATATTTCATCAGAAAGCAGGTCGTTCGAGGTGATGCAACTCCCCAGGTTAGTGAAGTAGTCGACATGTTCCACCATTTAACTCCCTATCGTTACACTGGGAGTAGTTGCAACAGATCAAATGATCAGACATCTGCTCAACACATCCATAAAGCCATGAACTTTTCCCCTGTCTTCATTTAGCAGGATGATATCGTCTGCATATTCAACCAATCAATTCGATGACCTTCACGAAGTAGGTCAGTCCGTGTGAAGTCAAACGTACGTTAGGTTATGTAGAGCATATTCTCAAAACTTTAAAATTACATACATATTTATCACAATAAACACCCCATTATTTGCTTCAAAATTCAGTTTTTTGCAACAAACTTTCACATGCTCGGAACTTATTCAGGAGGGCGACAAAGCTTGTCTTGAATGAAAACGATAGATAAATAGAAGTAATGTAAGCAACATAATAAATGAGTTACATTTCAATAACTATACTGAGAATATCGTTCAAAAGACTAAAGAAAACGATGAACAGAGGAATCTAAAAGGAAAATGGAATGATGAAGTATCGATTAGTACAATAGTTCTATGATTCTGCAAAAGGTACAATTGAAAAGCTACGAAAAAATTTTTTTAATTTTAAGAAACTTTAACAAGACAAACAGCATTGTCATGAATACTTTAGTTCACTTAAAAGATAAATTTTCTTTTACCTTAGCATAGAATTGTGTCTACGAATCAGGCTATATCGACTGTAATGGCTATTATGTTGGGAAATCATCCTATGAAATCGTCATTCATGCTAAAATATAGACAAGTTACACAAAATGACACTTAAATATTCTTCTAGAATGGATGGATTTACCAATCCAAATCAACATGTCCAAAAAATAGACATAGAAACAAAGATCTAACTAGCCAACTATCAACTTGAACAATATATCCAAAATGATAGATTACACACATATACAAGTCATAAATAAAGTAAATTCATAGTATTCTTCTCATACCTTCACATCAGTTCATATGTGCACACATATTCATATCTTTACCTTGAATTACCAGACTAAGGATGATACATTGTTATGATTGACTTGATTATGACAAGACATGCTACCCAGAATGAGCGTTTTATCCTGTTTGAAACTCATCAGATGGTTAGACCTTCACCTCAGCAAGTATATTTATTCTCACTGAGATTCTAACCTGTAATCATTGTTTCAAACAGCAAAACGTAATCCACTAGACCACTTAGATACAATAGTCACCTCTAACACAACGATTATTGATTTTTTACTATCTCCCGATACTTATAATCCTCCATATACCAATTATATCAAACTGCCACAGAAGGACGACCTCAATCTTTGCAAGAACTCAACCGGAATCATGCTCATATCCACACCAAGCCAAATATTAAGCCACATCATCTAGAGAGACTAGAAATACTCTCCATTCAAAATTGTCACCGAAACATGCTGGCTGGCTGGCTGACTTCAGGAAAAACAAATCGAGTGTGGATCGAATTGCAGTGCTATGCTAGGCATCATCATAGAATAGAGCAAGGAATGAGAGTTCACTGTACCTGTACCTCAACTTCATCGATTTTGGTAAGGCCTTGGATAGCGTCGACTGAGAAGTAGATTGTCAGGCAGCTGCTTCAACACTACGGTTTAAGTGAGACAAACCTTCATCAACCTCATTCAGCGGCTATTTGATGATGATGGTGATGATGATGATGATGAGACATGTGGAGTGATTGACAGTGGAAAACTCATAGATGCTTTTGAAGTGAAGTGAAGGCAGGAGTGAGAGGGGGTTGCTTACTATCACTGATGATCTTCCTGATTGTGGTCGACTGGACTGGACTGGACTGGATCATGCAACAATCCATGAGGAGGTGTGAGAAGATGGGCATACGCTGTTTGACCGATGAAAAATACCGTAGGATATTTGGATTTTGCCGATCATGATTTATATCTAATGTCCTATGCCGCGCAACCTCGAAGATCTATAAGCTAGAAACAACAAGTTTACAGAAGAGGCAACGAACATGGCACTTCCTTCAGGTGAACATAGAGAAGACAGAGCTGATGAAGATATCCAAGTAACAACAATAACAACAACAAGCACCAGTCACTATCAAGGGGAGAAGTGTGAAGGAAGTTGTCTCTTTCACCTACCTACCTAACTGTCTACCTAGGCAGCATCGTCTCAAATACAGGCGACACGGACACAGAGGAGGATGTCAAAGCAGACAGGATCGGAACGACACCAAGACAGGCCCTCCTTCACTCACCTGAAATAATCAGAGTGGAGATCTACTTCACTGCACTGCACAGCACAGTGCAGCACAGCACTCACCATATCATATCTTATAGTAGTTTTTTCTTACCTGAATCACATTATCATCCATAGGTTGATTGATAATTTTCTCTTTTTCACTAGATTGAATAATTTCTTCATCACTTTTAGTATGACTTTTATAGCCTTTGTAATTTATATGATTATATAGATTATTAGTATTCTCATTTTGTGTATAGTTTTGTGATTTCAATGAAATACTTGATGTATTGAAATTGTTCAATGAATCATTCAATGAAGAATTTAGTCGATTACATGATTCTTTCTTTTTTAATTGTAATAAAGATATTTTTTGTTTAAAAACTGTTGTCAGTTTTTTTCTTTTATGATTATTGCTACTTATAAAGTTGTTAGTAGTGTAATTGCTATCACTAAAACTATCATTATTATTACCCTGATAATATAAAAATTTATTTCCAAATGTTGAAGAAAATGTTTGATACTTTCGAATTGGTAGTTTTATTTTTTTCTCTGATTCTATTGCTTTCGGTAATGATGATAATGACATAGTAGTTATTACTGATTTATATTGATTAGTATTTTGATGATAGGATAAATTACAATCATTGTATAAACTTGTTGATATGTCAGTATCAGAAGTAGTATCAATTCTAGGTGAATTATGTAAATAATGATGATATAATTTTTGTGATTCTTTTAATTTTATAAATTTTGATATTTTATGTTTACTTTTTTTAGATATTTCATTACTTTGATGAGAATCATTCGAATTTAATGTAGATATATTTACTAAACTTTTATAATTTTCATTTTTATCACCATTCAATTGTGATTGATAGTGTAATGATTTAAAGTTGTTCAATGTACAATGTTCAATAGTGAAGGATACAATTGATTGTTCCGGTGGTAAATTATTCACATTCATATTAAAAGATAATAAATTTTTAAAGTATATATGATTCAATGCATTAAATGCTGTAATTCTACGATGTCCAATAAGTGCAAGGCATTCAAATAATAAATCACGTCCATCTTGATTTAATCTTGGTGTATTCCATGAAAGTTTTGACATTATACGTTTATTATATGTATCAATATCAATTGATTGATTATCTTCTATTTCAATAACTTTCAATGATGACTTATCATTGGATATAAAAAGATTATTAGATGATTTAGAGAAACTAGATCTTTTTAGTATATTCTTTTTATCATTTTGATGTAAATTGTAATATTCTAAAAATTTTGGGTTATTTCTTAAACCTGGCCAATAAGATTCTGGTGGAATGCCTAAATTAAGATAATGCACAAAAAAAAAACATTAACCAGGTTACTATCGATCTGGGAAAAGATCAACACAGATGAAACTAATAAAAGATGATAAAGAAAAGGATGGGCTGACCACTTCAAAAAAACTCTTCAATCGACTACTACCTGCAGCCATAGAAATACAAGTCGAAGTCCTGAACGCCATAAGATTACTGAAATGTGGGAAAGTAGCAAGACCAGGTGAAATCGTTCTCCTGTCCACCTCAAGCAAAATATAATGCCGCATCATCCTAGAGAGACTAAAAGTGCTCTGCATTCAAAATTATTAACGGAATAGGCTGGCTGACTCGCTCCAAGAAAAACAAATCATGTGCGGACCAAACTGAAACGTACGCATCATCATAGAACAGAGTAGAGAATGGCAGTCAACTCTCTATCTCACCTCAACTTCATCGACTTCGAAAGGTTTTTGACAGCGTCGATCGACAAGTAATTTGACAAGCACTTGCTTCAACACTATGGAATACCACAAACCTTTATCAATCTCAATCAACAGCAACTATATGAAGACGCCACGTGCCAAGTAATTCACATTGGGAAGCTCCACGATGCCTTTGAAGTGAAGACAGGAGTGAGACAAGACTGTCTACTATCACCCATGATATTCCTGATTGTGGTGGATTGGATCATGCAACAAACAGTGGGGAGCGAGAAGAGGGACATATGCTGGACTGGAGAAAAGGTCCTAGAAGATTTCGATTTCACCGATGACTTGTTTGTAATGTCGCACAAAGTCGAAGATCTACAGGTGAAAACCAATAAGTTGACAGAAGAGGTAGGGCAGAGAAGACAGGACTTCAAGTGAATGTAGAGAAGACAGAGGTGATGAAGATACCCAACCAACACCACCACCACCACCACCAACAACAACAACAAGCCCCAATCATCATCAATGGGAGAAACTTGAAGGAAGTAGTCTGTTTCACCTATCTAGGCAGCACTGTCTCAACTACAGGCGACACAGGGATAGACGGGGATGTCGAAGCACCCAGGATCGGAAAGACAGCAGGACAGGTGTTCATTAGCCTGAAACTAGTGTGGAGATCTTCTGCACTCAGTATAAAGTGTGAACAACATCCGGATTTGCGACACCAATTCAGTCAAGTCAGTGCTTCTATGTGATGGTTGAGAGAGTTGGCGCATTACGAAAGGTATTTCCAACGGACTGCAGATATTCATCAACAATTGCTTACGCTATCTCATACTGAAGATCAGATGTCCAGAAAGAATAAGCAAGGAGGAACTGTGGAAAGGAACCAACGAAGCAAGAAGCTATCGCTGAAGAGATATGCAGAAGGAAGTGGAGATGGATTGGGTGTGCACTGAGAAGACCGACTGGGGACATGACGTCCCAGGCCAGGCCTTCGAGTGGAACGGAGATGGGAAGCGACGAGTTGGGCGTCCGAGGTGAGGGTGGCCTGGAGGAGATGGTGTGAGGAAGAAATGAGAGCTTGTGGGCTTTTGTGGAGCCAGGTTCAAAGATTTCAGAGAAGAGAGAGCATTGGAGACGTTCTACTGAAGCCCTATGTTTCATCAGGAACCCAAGGGACAAATAATAATAATGAATAATTACAGTGGATGCTGCTGATAAGAATACATGAAGAGCAGATCAACAGCAAATCAAGAGGGGAACAGAAGAGGAAACGAAGCACATTTGCAAATGACGGGGTTAGTGCAAAGTGTGCTATATGTTACGACTACCGTTCCAATTGTTGACATTAAACATTCTCTCCGTCGTGTTTGTCTTCTGTCTCTTCAATACGATGATGTATATCAACCTGAAATCAATAAATAATTCCCCACAAACCTTCAAATTTGTTTATATGTGTTTGGTACGAACCGACGCAGTTAATTCGAACTCTCCAAATCCTTCGCTATTTGTTTTCCGCTTTTCCAGTTGTTGTCGTATATTTTGTTGGCATCCATCGGTTAGAATAGTTTACCTGGATTCATTACTATTGAGCAGATAAGTAGACAAAATTGGTGAGCCAGATGCTTGAGAAATTGACTGTTAAATATGTATATCGTTTAATTACTATGCAATAAAATAGACCTGTCCAATGGGTTTATTATAAAGATTGAATCTATTTTCCACAAATTGTTGTCCCAATTATACTGGCTATTTATTTTGATATGGATTTCGTTGATATCTTTCTTGTGGACAAATCCTTTATTTTGACTTCGTTAGAGGCAATAACCAGGAAACCTTGCACTTGTCAGCAAGACATATCTACAACGTCTATCTAGCTGATGTTCCACCTGAAATTCAAACCCGCGTTACTCAGTAGTGGAGTCAAAGACGTTACTACTGGGCTACTCGAGCCACGACCAACCTCCTGTAAGACTGGATGAGGTACACTGATTTATCACTGAAGGATAACGTCTCTGACTGCAAAACTAGGTGATACGGGTTAGAATCTCAGATTGGACATGACTTTCATCAAGGTTTCAGATATGCCTTGCAGCCAGTGCATCACGATAGTGAGTCATCTAGACAACAGGAAGTTGATTGTCCTCCAATAACCCATCAATGACTTTTGTGTTCAGACTATAAGTTTAACACTTCTTCAAAGTCAGAATTCATCAGTTGCCTGTGTCTCAACGTTTTTGTTTCTAAATCTACAGGTTCCGTCATAATTTTTTAGGCTAGAAAGCTGCTTTGCTGGAATTACCTTAGAGAATGTGAAATTTACTAAGTCTTCTTACTACTGTCCTACTAAATGATATCACGGACCGAGTGCTCCAATACCCTGTACAACCAATCATAGACTCTCTGTACGACAACTTTAAGAAGATAGTTATTTAATTCGCGTCATTCTGCAGCAGACAGGTATCAGATGATATTTCAAGCAAACTGGAGATGGGAGACTAAGCTTCCTGAAAGGTGTTGACATAAATGAAGACTTAAGTTGTAGATAAGAAGATAGACGAAGGATTGTTACATCAGCGAAAATTCAAAAGTGCATTGTATCCGACCACGACAGTATTGACAGGGTTAGGCTTACAGGACTAGCTGATAGCATGCATAAACAATTTTTGCTGTATACCACTACCAATATCTTTTTAATTCATGCAACAGTTGTCTATGGCCTGCTTTCTACTTATTGAAGTAAATATCATAACATTTATATCAGTGAAGAATAACCAATATGGATTATCATGTTACTAATTTCGACTGAAAAGTAGCGAGCAAGGCAATGAGTTCACTTTAATATATCTGGTTGTTCAAATGACGAATTATAAATTACAACCAGATAAAGATTAGCTGTTCTGTTGAATAATAAAGGATCTCATCTGTCTTAAATTTATGGTCTATCAAAGATATATAAGCATAACGTTCCTCTAAGTTCTACACTATCCACGGTTATCTCACCTTATCATCAGGTTGCTCATCGGCTTGTAGAAAAGTAAGAACTTAAACGACTGGTTGCATATACCTTGAAGAATTTATTTTAGTTTGTTAGATTGGTCAGTTAATTTAACGTCTTCAACAAACTCATGGTGTAGTTTCTTTCTTCACGAAGATTCTGTAACATAAGACTGTTGATATTATTTGCCAGTATTCCAACCTCTTTCCTCTGCCAACTCGGATACTTGCTGCTATCGTGTATTAAAGATGTTCAGTTTCATTTCGATATTATCAAGTTGATGGGATTGAAATGAGCCATAATTTGGCACTTGTTAGTAAGGTGTATCTATAACCTTGTTGGAATTGGTGTTTCGCCTAAGATTTGAATCCTTGTCACCTAGTGTTGTAGTCAGTGACTTTACCACTGAATTAATTGGTCCGCGATTGACATTCTGTAGAACTGGGTTGTAGGTATTTATCACTAGTCACTGGAGAGGAACCAATTTCATGTTATCTGGTCCTTAATTTCAACTACTTTCATCCAATCAGTCCTAAACTAGCAATGATCAAAAGAGTATTTTATAGAGCTGAGAAGATGTGTTCATAGAACAGATTCGAATAAGATTTGATGAGTCTCGAAAAGATCTTGTGAAACTACAGTCAAGTTGATCTCTCCTAATAAAACTATATATTCCATGGTTCAATCAAAGTTTGTAGGATTCCTTTCCATGTTACCTTTAACGACGTCCGTATGTTCACTTACATCTGCTGTAGCAGTTGTATCGAAGAAACAGAGATTCTTTAACACATATCAAAAAGCTTACATATTAGGGGAACAATTGCTTTTAGTGGTGCAGTCTCTTGGGCTCCTATGGAAACAGAACATGAAGTAGATACCTTGAAATCCTTGAAGACAATAAGGAACAATGTAATTCGAAACTTTTAAAGTTCACTGAGGTAGTAGTAATCGAACGTTTGAAACAGAAGTCGTATATTCACAGGGAAGTAATGATAAATCGTTCTTTGCCCTAGCAACCTAATACTTTATTCATAAAATAAGAAAAAGACACTCCATTGACAACATTTGACCTATATTTCACTAGTTAATATCAATTCATACCTTATTCATCGACCTATTTTGCATATTTCAGTTAAATTATCACCATTTTGCAATTCTTTGATAACACTTGTCTCTTATCTCACACTATTTGTTATCTCAATTGTTCTAGCTTATTCAATGACCCATTTTCTATTTCTTCTACTTGAGCATATACCAGCAGCAACTATTGTATATTTTGCATATTAACTGAGCAAATCTCCAGTGCAATCATCAATCATTTTACCGTATATAAATACAACTGTACAGCTTGATATAATGAAGTCGTTGAAAAGGAACATCTTTTGTTTGCTGATACATAATGTTATCCTTATTCATGAATAAATGGGTATATTTTGTCAGTTAATATATTATTCTTCCACTTATTCTATGACATCACTTTTCATAGAATCTATTTTCAGTTTGTACATGATTTTGATGACCTATGGTCAACTCATTTATCATAAACATTATCCGGATATTTGTATCATGTATAAAACCATTAAGTGGTGCCATATTGTTCTGCTTGAAAATTGGTTCCCTCTTCACTCAAGTTTATAAAGAGGAAATCGTAATGCTTTCATTGACCTCATTCAAATTCGTGCAGTAGGCAATGAGCCACGCCGATATCACTAACATTAACTTCAATATGAAGTGAGCTGTCAATATCTCTCCGTCAGTGATTCAACACCTTCCACACACCAACTGGTTTCTTTGTGACTGGTAGTTCCCTTTGATTCTTGTGTCATTGACTGAATGCATAGACTTTCCAGGTGCCTGTTTCTCTACCTTACATCTGACCACTCTGTCGTTTATCATTTTCTCTACTGATTCATAGACTGGATGTATATCTATATACCTATTGATTATTGACTGACTGACTGACTGACTGACATGAATGTCAAACTTCTAGGAATTCTCTGATATTCTTTGTGTTTCCTCTCTCCATCAAACATTTCTACATTGTCAAAAAGGTAATCATGTCCATAGTTGTCATCCATGTGCATTGAAATGAGCAGTGATGTGATGTCGTTTTGTCGAACAGCCAATTGGTGTTCATGTAGACGAAGGTGAAGAGGATGACCACTTTGTTCAATGTAGTGTTGACCACAGTTATTGCAGTTGATTTTGTAAATGATATTCGGTTTGTCTTCTTTGACTGTTGCATCCTTTGATCAGTCTGCATAATAGTGTTTGTAGGGAATTTGTTGGTTGATGAGTGGCCACACCAATTCCAAATGGTCTTAGTAATCTTGTTGTGATTTCTGATTTATCCTTTATGTGTGGTAGGATGATGCGTTTATTGATTTCTGTTTATGATTTTGTAGTTGATGTTGTACGGGATAATCATCTTCTGATAGTTTTGTGAGTAACCATTCTCCTTAAGACTAAATACCTAGTAATTTTCTCCGTGAAGTTATTGCACTGCAGTGTTTTCTCGCTCTTTTGAATGAAGTTTGTACGCAAATAATTTATACGTTGTTGGGTTGTTGCTACTGTAGTTGATGGTTTGATCAGTGTGTATTGGCTTCCTGTTCACTTCGGTTTCCAACTTTTCGGCATTTGTCCTGCTGACTAAAATGTCCAGGAATGGTAGTTGATCGTTTGACTCCTTCTTCATTGTGAATTTGATATCGTTGAAAACGTTGTTTATCAAACTGTAAGTGTTCTCTATATGATCTTTTTTTATGATGACTGAAGTATCGTCTACATAGCGAATTCCAAATTTTTGTTTAATCACAAATAGATTGATGGCTTCCAGTGTCTGGATCACTGCTTCTACAATCTATCTGGATATCAGTGATCCCATTTGAGTTCCTTTCATTTGTTTGAATATCTTGCTATTGAATTAGAAGTATGTTGTCAGACAAAAGTCGATATGTTCCATCAGACTTGAACATTTATGTTTTTTGCGTTCTAAAAGGTTTATATCTTTATTGAGCTAGTTGGATATAGTTTCTTTTTGACCAATCAAGGTTCAAAGAGAGTGTTTAATGCTGTGACATTGAAGGATACCATTGATTTGTTCTTTTCCTGAAAGCCTACTACTAAACGGTTTCTAGCTAGGAAGAAAAGAATACTCAGTGTTTCAAGGTTATTGGGGATTCTTTATTTAATATCGATTCATAGTGAATAAGTTATATTTTTATTTAATGTTAGAAAGATATATTATTCTGTAGGGAATATACAATTAGCTTACACGACATTTTAGCCAATATTTACCTACTTCTATGCAGATGAAATACGTAATTGTTTCTGTCAATTACCATATTAGTCTCATATTAGAATGAAATATGATTCTTATCATACAAGTAACATTTATTCTAAGACAATATTTGTCTATTATCTAGTTAGTGTAGTAGGTTTTATAAAACCATTCACTTTATTTCAGATAGATGCTTAACATAAGATTAACTACTAAGGAATGATAAATTTTCATATTGAAAAAAATTGTTTTAACTGACAAGCAAATCTTTATCATTCAATGTGTATTTCTACTTATTCATAGAAAAGTAATCATTTCATATATCTTGTGATCAACATTTTAGCGAATAAATTCGTTTACAAGATAGAAAAAACAACTACATTCATTTAAGAAGAAATTTCATTCTATTTAAATTATTACCAGTATCACTTGAGTAATATAATGTTCTTCTAACATAATTAAACTCGATGTTCATCAAATAATTATTATTATATTATTATTAGTCCCTTGGGTTCCTAGTGGAACATAGGGCTTCAGTAGAACGCCTCCAGTGACCTCTGTTCTCTGAGATCTTTTGAACCTGGTTCCATGACAGCCCAAAAGCTGTCATTTCCTCCTCGCACGACCTCCTCCATGTCACCCTCGGACGTCCAACTCGTCGCTTCCCATGGGGATTCCACTCGAGCAACTGGCCTGACGCGTGATGTCTCCAGTCGGCCTTCTCAGTGCATGGCCAATCCATCTCCACTTCTTCCTGCATATTTGTTGCGTGATAGGTTCTTGGTTGGTTCGTTCCCAGAGTTCCTTGTTGCTTATTCTTTCTGGCAATCCATCTGATCTTCAGTAGCGAGCCAGCGTAAGCAGTTGTTGATGAATGTCTGTAGTTTATTGGAAATGCCTTTCGTGACGCGCCAAGTCTCTGAACCATACAGGAGCACTGACTTGACGTTGGTGTCGAAAATCCGGATCTTATTCCACATGCTGAGTGCAGAAGATCTGCACACTAGTTTCAGGCTAATGAACACCTGTCTTGCTTTTCCGATTCTGACTTTGACGTCCTCGTCCGTCCCGCCTGTAGTTGAAGCAGTGCTTCCTAGATAAGTGAAGGAGGTTACTTCCTTTAAGTTTCTCCCGTTGATGGTGATTGGAGTTTGTTGCTGTTGTTGATGGTGGTGGTGCGGTATCTTCATCACTTCTGTCTTCTCTATATTCACCTGAAGTCCCGTCTTCGTTGCCTCTTCTATCAACTTGTTAGTTTTTGCCTGCAGATCTTCAAGTTTATGTGATATTAGGCACAAGTCATCACTGGCGAAATCCAAGTCTTCTAGGTTCTTTTCCGTCGTCCAGCGTATCCCCCTCTTCTCGCTGCCCACTGTTTCATCAAATAATGGTAAAGTAAAACTGATTGAACTTCTAGCAACAATATTAAACACCTATGTTGAAAGATTTCAATTATTCCGGGTTGTTTTTATGCTTCTGAGTTGAAATGTTGAATATTGACGCTTTAAATATTGTTTTAAACAATGCAATGAGTAGATATTTGAAAAAGCTTCCTGAAGATAGGCATACGCTTGATTGATGAAAATATCATAGGAAATTTGGATTCTGCCTATCATGATTTATATCTAATATCTTATGCTGCACAACCTCGAAGATCTACAAGCAAAAACCAACAAGTTTACAGAAGAGGCAGCGAACATGGCACTTCATTCAAGTGAACGTAGAGAAGACAGAGCTGATGAAGATATCCAAGTAACAACAATAACAACAACAAGCACGAGTCACTATCGAAGGGAGAAATGTGATTAAAGTTGTCTCTTTCACCTACCCACCTAACTGCCTACCTAGGCAGCATCGTCTCAAATACAGGCGACACGGACACAGAGGAGGATGTCAAAGCAGACAGGATCAGAAAGACATCAATACAGGCCCTCCTTCACTAACCTGAAATAATCAGAGTGGAGATCTACTCCACTGCACTGCACAGCACAGCACTCACCATAAGCATGAACAAGATCCGAGTTTTCAACACTAACGTTAGTCAAGTAAGTCAGTGCTTGTATGTGATGGATGAGAGACTTGGAGAGTTGCAAAAGCATTTTCAACAAACTACAGATATACATGATATGAACAGCTGCCATCCACGCTCACTTGATACTGAAGATCAGATGAGATGATGTGAAAGAGTGGGCAAGGGAAACTCTGGCCTTGCAGCAAACCAACCAATCAAGAGGCTATCGCCGGAGAGATATGAAGAAGAGAAGAAAGTATGGATGGATTGAGCTGGACTGGACTGTACATGTGTTGAGAGGACGGTTTTGGGACATCATGCGTCAGGCCAGGCTGTCAAATGGGAGTCGAATGGGAAAAGATGATTTGGGTGTTGGAGGGAAGGGTGAGATGGGGGAGATGATGTGAAGAAGAAATGGGAGGTTGTTGACAGTGGTGCACCATGTTAAGGAGACTGTGTAGAATAGAGTGAAATGGCGATGTGTTCTGAAGCCTTATGTTCCAATGGGAACTCAAGCGATAAATAATAGCAATAGCAAAGCTTTCTGAATCTGTGCTTAGATATCGTCTGAATGGCAATGAAAGTTCTACTTAAATTATAAAAGTATACAGAATTCTTCATCAACCAAATCTTCAAATACTATTTCCTTTATTTGTCTATCAGATCATCTTTGTAGATACTTTCAGCGTTGATTCCCTTAAACGAAATCTAGTCAAGAACATTTAATATGCTTACCGAACTTTTGAAAGATAATTTTCACTTGATCCTCTTTTGAAGTACCAGGAAACAGACTATAACCTGTTGTCATTTCATACAATATGCAACCAACTCCCCAGATATCAATATGACCAGAGTAATTTTTATCACCAAGAAGTACATCAGGTGGTCGATACCTGTCAAATAAAATAAATAACAAGCCAACCTATTAACTATAGGTATAAAACACTATAGATCTTAGCGATTAATAAACTTATGTAAATGAACAGTTTTGCTAAGGTCATAGTATTTATCATTATCAGACTCTTACCTGAGTAGATATTGTATGATTTTTAAAAATGAAGTAAAAATCTGGCCCGGGGAAAGATTTGAACCAGTGAACTTCGGCTTACTGACTCAGTATTGTAACAACATAGTTACAAGTCATAATTTCACTTCATTTACTCGAGTATACTTCCCCTGTTTCGAAAAATATCGTAAATTTTAACTGAGGATAAATGGCTTCTTGTCATTGATGGGCATTCAACATCACTTCCTCAATTCATAGTTTAAACTACAGTTTGTCATCGATAATAATAGTAATACTCGCTTTATTCTAAACAATATATATACAGCATGGAATTCCAAGCATTCAACTTCCTAACAAATTCTCTCACACAACAATACTTTCAAACAAAATGGTTATTCCATCTGAACGATGTTAATAATAACAGTATTCAAAACAATAATATGATATAGCGAGATGGTTCTGGATGAGCATCCAGTCCATAATGATGAATCAACAGAAATACAAGCATAAGTTTGGTGGTGGCGTTCATCCAGTTGGTACAAAATCGGTAACTCAAGTTAAGCATCTGATGGATAAAAATTTGATATACTCTTGTGCATTGAAAAGTCCACTTCCATATAACATAAACATTTTTCTCTGTTATGTAAGTGACTGGAGAAACAGAGAGTTCGAGATAGTTTAAAAATGTGACAGAGTACATAATACATTTAAGGATATATTTAAATGATTAAAACAAATTGAAAATGGAGAATTTTGTGTAAAATGTTCAATGGATAATTTCGGTAGCCCAAAGTTCAAGGCAGGCCACTGTTACTTATGTTATTAAAATATTCTTACCTTTAGAACCCAGTTTGTTTGTTAAAGTGATCTTTTTATCAAGCCAATTTCCTTCTAAATGAACTCGGCTTAATATTATTGTAATTTTAGGTCAGTGTAACTTTTTTTCTGAGTAGAAAAAATATTTTTATTTCAAGGAATACAAAAATACAAATAAAAAGTCTTTGAATTTTACTGAATTCATATGGATATATATTATATGAAATTCCAGTGCTCATTAATAACTCTCTTCGACAGGTAACTTCTGAAAGTCTAATGAGAAGTTGTGATCAGTGAGGTGAATTAAGTTGGCATAACTGAATGAAGGTGGTGCTATGTCGTGAACTGAGACAAGTATGAAATATGGTAATATGCTGGTTATGAAACCTGAAGGTTTGAAATTTGATCCTTAGCAAGCAGGATCAGGGGTTCATATAGCTGAAGAGTCCACTACTAGGACGAAACAGCTGTCTAGTACTTCCGTATTTCTAATGATTTTCAAACTGATATTAGTCCATTATGATCAGAGAACAACTAACTATACACTTCTACATCATCTAGGCATCAAGCATTTCTACACATTCACAGACAGAAGACATCTCTAAGAGACAAGTTTCTATCTAAGAATAATCTACCAACTAAAACCCTAGCTCAAAGGAAAAGTTACTCTAATTATATCTTGATGTGGTTTTTTTAATAAGGAAGTGAGATTACAAGTTTTTATCGTGTAATTTTTCATTTTTATCTGGCTTAAAAGAAGAATTTACACAAGTTTTTCACCGATTTATACATAGTCCATAGTTAGATAATAAGACCCTATAGTCAGTATAGTAGTGAATTGGACACAAAATTACTTATTTACATTCAGTAATATTAAGAGAATATGAATTTATTACTTTTGTGTGAAGTAGAGCGATTTAAACAGCACTAAGTCAATCTTTTCTGAGGAAAAAAACTGGCACATTACTAAATAGACTAAAGGAGACCGAAATCCACCGTATTCAGTAATATAAAGTTATATGAAAAGAAATTTAAATAACTTTATTATTATTTGTCCTTTGGGTTCCTAATGGAACCTCAGTAGCACGTCTCCAGTGCGCTCTGTTCTCAGAAGTCTTTTACACCTGATTCCACGACTGCTCATTTCCTCCTCATACGATCTCCTCCATGTGAACCTCACCTCGGACGCCCAACTCGTCGCTTTCCATCGGGTTCCACTCAACAGCCTGACTCATGATGTCCCCAGTCGGCGTTCTCAGTGTATGTCCAATCCATCTCCGCTTTCTTCTGCATATATATTGAGTGATAGGTTCTTTGTTGGTTGGTTGCCAGACCATAGTGAGTTCCTTGTTGCTTATTCTTTGTGGTATCTGATCTTCAGTAACGAGCGTAGGCATAAATAACTTAAACATAAATAATTGCAAGTCAGAAATTGAAAATCAAAGGTGAACAGCCAAAAGCATGTTATTTATTCACATGAATATCTGAAAGTCATTATTCAAAATGAATCTGCAAACAATGGGGAATATTTGTAGCTCAGATGGATAGTCTTGGTTGTACTATGTTATCTCCATGCAGAAACAAAGTAAATTACTTGATGTTTTTCCTCAGGAAGAACAGTTACTCGCAAAACTTTATCAGAAGATGACTATCCCGTACAACATCAACTACAAAATCATAAACAGAAATCAATAAACGCATCATCCTACCACACATAAAGGATAAATCAGATATCACAACAAGATTACTAAGACCACTTGGAATTGGTGTGGCCACTCATCAACCAACAAATTCCCTACAAACACTATTATGCAGACTGATCAAAGGATGCAACAGTCAAAGAAGACAGACCGAATATCATTTACAAAATCAACTGCAATAACTCTGGTCAACACTACATTGAACAAAGTGGTCATCCTCTTCACCTTCGTCTACATGAACACCAATTGGCTGTTCGACAAAACGACATCTCATCGTTGCTCATTTCAATGCCAGTGGATGACAACTGTGGACATGATTACCTTTTTGACAATGTAGAAATGTTTGATGGAGAGAGGAAACACAATGAATATCAGAGAATTCCTAGAAGTTTGACATTCATGTCAGTCAGTCAGTCAGTCATTTAATAATCAATAGGTATATAGATATATATCCAGTCTATGAATCAGTAGAGAAAATGATAAACGACAGAGTGGTCAGACGTAAGGCAGAGGAACAGGCACCAGGAAAGTCTATGCATTCAGTCAATGACACAAGAATCAAAGGGAACTACCAGTCACAAAGAAACCAGTTGGTGTGTGGAAGGTGTTGAATCACTGAGGGAGAGATATTGACAGCTCACTTCATATTGAAGTTAATGTTGGTGATGTCGTCCAGATAGACGATGAAATGTTTACGACTTGACAACCTAGTTCAGAGAACACAATACAACCAAGGATCTATGAATTTCGGAGATATTGTAGCTATAACTTCAACTCAATTTGCACACCTTGTGGTTGGATTCACCTGTCTTGGTAGTGACTACTCTCAATGAATACTTAATAATACAACTGTTCTCCATGGTCAAATTCATCGCCTATCTGTTATATCCTACTTCGGCTAGTAAAAGCATAAAAACAAACAACTGATGGAAAAAGGAGAACAGAATATTTGGTTACATTTTAAAACTGATGAAAGATTATTACTGGATACCACACACTTTATTCACTTATTTTCTAATAAAGTTACAAAGGCTGTACAAAAAATGCACTTTCCAAACGTATCTATGAGCACTGACCTGCTTAATTGTCAAAGGAAGAATATAAATTAATTAACAGTTCAATTCTTGAACATTATGTCAACTATCAAGATATACCACTCCATCAAAATCCTTTTTCAGTGTCCTTTGCATAGTTTCAAAGAGAACAGTTAAAAAGGTGTATACAGTCGATAGTTATGAACAACAGAAGCAGTGGAAATTCACTAATTCAAGCCTAATATGTCTGCAAAAGATACATGTTCAATCTCTTATTTTGACATGGTCTTATCCTCTCCACACTCTTTTTTTCTGATTTCATTATCACCTTTACTATGACACTTGTTACTTTCTTCACCCTCTTTACGTCTATGAGATGGAGATGGACACTTAAGCGTCTCATTTCATATCTACCAACAATTTTCACCTAGACGAAATGTATGATAGATTACTACGTAATTTCTTTCCATAGGGAAAAGAAGAGATAATTCCTCAAAAACGATTTCCTTTTTCAACGACATTATTTTCTAATTTACTACTTATTATTCTTCCCTTGGGTTCCTAGTAGAACATAGGACTTCAGTAGCACGCCTCTATTCCATTCTGTCCTCCACAGTCTTTTCAACTTTGCCCCATGACTGCCCATAAGCTTTCATTTCTCCCTCAAACCATCTCTTCTTCTATGTCACCATCTCCTTGGACGCCCAACTCGTCGTTTCCCATCTGGGTTTCACTCCATGGCCTGACTTGGTGCGTGATGTCCCCAAATGGTCTTCTCAGTGTATGCCCAATCCATCTTCACTTTCATCTTCTGCATATTTGTTGGGTGATAGATTCTTGATTGGTTCGTTTCCAGAATTCCTTGTTGCTTATTCTCATTATTCTAGTCATTTGATCTGATCTTCAGTATCGAGTGAGTGTAGGTGGCAGCTGTTGATGAATGTTTGTAGTTTATTGGAAGTGCTTTTAGTGACACGCCAAGTCTCTGAACCATACAGCAGCACTGACTTGACAAAGTTGTACAATAATCGTGTTTATATGTGCATCACAGACGTATAACAGTCTATTATTAAACTCTAGGGTATAATTGCATCATTAGGGAGTGAAATCAAGAATAGGGAGTGATTGCGCAATAAGAAGGCAAAGAGTATGACAAGGTTAAAATTCCTTTCTAGTCATGACTATATTTCTTAATACTAACTTAATGACGTGACTGTACCCTATTGTGACATGTGTGGATAGGACTGTAGAGTTTAAGAAGATGACTTTGTCGAAAAGGAACATTTTCTTCTCTTAACCACCCTCTCTTCCCATCGCTACTCAATGAAGATCTTTTT